GGGATGGGATGGGATGGGATGGGATGGGATGGGATGGCTCAGCCCCCGTGGACAGCACCAGGCAGAGCTTGGGGTCCCCATCCCCACCTCTGAAGATCCTGTCCCTACCCTGAAGGCCCCATCCCCACTTAAAAGGTTCCTGTCTCCACCTTGGGCATCCCTATCCCCACCCCAGGACACCCATCCCCACAAAGGTCCCTGGCCTCAACATGGATGTCCTATTCCCACCRTGGGAGATCTCTGTCCCCACTCAGGAGGTGCCTGTTATCATCCAAGGAGGGGTTCCATCCCCTTGCTGTAGGTCCCTGTCCTGCCTTCAGAAGATCCTGTCCCCACTCCACCCCCGAGTCATCCCCACCCTGATGATCCCCATCCCTGCCCCGGATGTGCTGTCCCCATCCCTGGGGATTCCTCACCCCGTGCGTCCTTGTCCCCATCTCTGGGGGTCCCATCTCCATCCCGGGTGTCCCTGTCCTCATTCCTGGGGGTCCCATCCCCACTGTGGGGGGGTCTCTGTTCCCACCCTGGGGGTCCTGTCACCATCCCCAGGGGTCCCACCCCCACCCTGAAGGTCAATCCCACCCAGAGGTTTCATCCCCAGGGGTCCTATCCTCCCCATTMTAGGGATTCCATCCCCACCTGAGTGGGTACTGTCCCCACCACGGGGGTCCCATCCCCACTCTGGGAGTGCCTGTCCCCATGCTGGGATTCCCATCCCCAGCCTGGGAATGCTGCCGCAGCAGAGCCAGATCAGTGCCTTCCCCCAGAGCCCACCCCACACCATCAGTGCCTCCAGGGCGTACCCCACTCCCACCCACGGTACTTGCTCAGTCYGTTCCCCCTTGGGGCTTTGTGTTGCTCTTGGGGGCAGTGGGGCTGGCAGCCGGGTCCCCKTGTGGGTGCTCAGCCCCTAACCTTGCCAAGTATCCTTCCAGGGGGAGCCCAGGTGGGGGTGCCCCCACAGGACAGGGGTGCCCCCACAGTACCTTCCCCACTGGGATCCCCTCCCCAGGCTCTCCCTMTCCCCAGGGGGGATGGGGGTGATGTTACCCCCTGACCCCCCATCCCCCAACTCCGGCTGAGATGAAGGATGGGCSAGGCCCCCCCGGCATCCCTCAACGTCCCCCCTCTGTTTGTTACTGGGGTGTTTGGTGTGTACTTCCCCCCACTAAACCCCCATCTTGTCTTGCCCTGTGTTTGGAGGTTTTAGGTAAATGTGTTGTGATTTTTGTCATGTTTCATGTAATGGGTGTGGTGGAGCTCTCAGCATGCRGAGGGGGTGAAGGGTCTAGAAAGGTGTGGGGAGGGGGGCAAGATGGGGAACCAGGGTGAGGGACTGGATCCCAGCATGATCTGTAACCCTCCCCCCAAGCTGCCTGTACCCAGCAAGGTGGGGACCAGCTTCCTTTGCCCCCTTCTTGCCCAACTTAGTTACCTCAGATCACTCCCCAAAAGCCTGGTGTAGTCTTGTCACCATCCCAATGCCCCCAAGACCTTCTTCATCATCACTCCCCGCAATGGGTCCCTAGAGGCCAAGAGGGCTGTGTGGGGCACCCCTTTCCTCATCCCACTTGAGGGGGCTTCCCATGAGATAGCCCCTTCAGCTTCCTGCAGCTGCTTGGGGTCACACCCAAAAAAATCCCTRAAGTCCTGGGGGTCTGTGGCATCACCTGGGGGGTTCTGGTGGKTTTCAGAGGATTTAGGGGTGGGGGCTATGCAGCTCCACCTCCAGCCCTTGATGGGGGTGGGTTGCAGCAAGGGCCGAGGGCCAGCAGCAGCATCAATAAATTAAGTTTTATTTGGATTAGTGGCATTTGCAAACATGGGTAATAAATTACAGAATGGTTAAAAAACAAAACAAAAAAAAAAGTGGGGAACCCACCTCCGGGGGACTGGGAGGGATACAGGGGGAACAGGGATACATGGATGGGCTGCCAGCATGCTCTCCATGCCATGGAGCCCACCAGCACGGCAGCAGCGGTGCAGTGGCTGGCTAGGTGAGGGGCCCACCGGCACCGCAGTGCCCCGGGGACCYTTGGGGAGMTCACAGGGATGTGCCAGGGGWTCCCAGCTGYACCCGTGCCAGCTCCAGTGGGAGCGCCCGTCCTGCTGCTGGCGAGGGCTCATGGCTGCTCCCAGGCATCCCAGTGGCTGCTCTGGGGCGTCCATCCCACAGCAGCCCCCTCGGGGGCCACCTCAGCCCCAGCAGTTCTGGTGCCCTGTCCCCACTGGCAGCGCTCGCAGCAGTGCGAGTGAATGCTGAACCTCCCAGCCCTGCGTTTACTCCCCAAAATCTGCGCGGGGGGAGGGGTGTTTTCTTCTCCCCAGGATCCTACTGGGGGGAAGCCATGTCAGCAGGCAGGATTTGGGGGATATCATGCCCTCCCCACACCACGGGGCATCTCCATGCTGGAMTCCCCAGCACTGCCCACCCCGTGGCCCCCGGATTCCCCCCATAAAGTGCTTCCTTGCCCCCAGCCCAGCGGCACAGCCCATTGAAGGGGGGTCTCCTGGGGTAATGCTGGGGCACCCGCAGTGCTGTGGGGAGCCCCACATCTGCCCCTAACCCTGGAGTGCGCCGGGAGCCCCCAAAACCGAAGGCTCTGCTGGGGGCACACTGGCTGAGCATGGGTGTGGTCCCCCTGCCGCGCACCCCCACGGTCCCACAGCACCCACGGTGACAGTGGGAGCTGTCCCCGGCTCCGAGTCCGCCCCGTCAGCGCAGGGTCCGGGAGGTGGCGGGGAGCCGTCCCTGCTCCGTCTCCCCGTTTGCTGAAGCATCGTGGCTGGGTCCATGGTGGGGGCAATGGGTGGAGGGTGCAGGGTGGGGGCCGAGAGGGTTTGGAGGGCAGCCGGATCCGGTGATTCAGCGATCAGAAGAGGTTTGTCTTGATGCCGTTTGGTTTCCGATGGAAAGAGGAGAGGACGCCGGAGAAGGGTCCCGGCACAGCCTCGGTGGGCTGCCAGGCCTTCAGTAGCTCGGCCGTGTTGGGGGCACCGCTGCCGCCCCCCACTCCTGCCCAGAGGGGTGCCTTGAGGGGCTGGGGGGCATGGCCGGGTCCCAGGGGTGCCCCCGCGCCAGGGCTGGGGCTCAGGCTGCCGCCGGGGCTGCCGATGGCAGCAGCAGGCAGGGACGCCGTGCTGTCTGGAGTCGGGCTGCAGTTGGATTCCTTGGATTCGTCGTCTTCTGACGAGGAGCGCGGCTCCGACTTCTTCCCGGTGGTGCCGGTGCCACTGGCACCCTTGGCATTGGCCGCACGCTCCTGCTTGCGGAATTTGGCTCGACGGTTCTGGAACCACACCTGGAGGGGATGGAGGGGATGGTAGCACCCCATGCCACCGTCCCTGAGGGTTCGGGGAGCCCGTGGGTGCAGGCAGCCCTTCCAGGCTCCCGGGTGCCTCACRGCTCTCCATTCCCTCGGGGGAAGTGTTTTTCACATCACCAGAGGGATCCAGGCATCCACAATAATGTGGGTTGGTGAGGGCACTGGCGCGAGCTCCAGCGATGGCAGGGGAGGGAAATGGGGAGGGAGCATCGCCACTGCACCCACACTTGCA